AGTTGTGAAGTAGTTTACAACTAGTACATTTGACTACAGGGTATGTACAAATGTACATTGTACATAAGTATGTAAGTATAAATACCTAAAACCACAATTCTGTAATATGAAACCTAGCAAAACCGCTTTTTTAATAAACATGACTTCAGTCTCCTACAGTATCCGGACCTTAGAGTTTCGAGTGTATCCTGTGGTAGTTGAAACGTCGTTTATGGTTAGTCGGTACATCTTCGCGTCCACTGATTGGCTTACGTATGTATGTATGTCTGGATCTGGTCCGTGAGTATATAGGGATGCCTGCTGACGTGCCTGGGAGGAGGGTGTGCTCCCAGCAAGTGTCCGTTCGGTTGCTCATTGCGGTAGAGCCGACCAGAACTTGCGAGCTTAGTATTAAAATGTGCCTTACCTAGGATCATTGGGGCTTCACTCTGCAGATGGTGTTAAGGGGACATCAAAAGGCATTTCCCATTCAGCGGGTTCTAAGCGACGGAATGTCTTGTGTTTTTCCAGAACAAGAGCTGTTTTTTCGGCCATTTAACCCTGCTTGGAGCGGTTATCCCTACCAATCGTCGGCAAGCAAGTCCTGAATATTAAATTTGTAGCTAAGTTAGAAAGCAACTTCCATAAAGAATGTATCCGTTATTAATTGGAGTTGATTGATTTCAAGAATGCCACAAAAATATGCTCTTTGGATGGCGCTTTACTCGCAATATTTGACACACCTATTTATTTTAAATATGGCCCGTAATAGGGCGTAAAGTTGAAGGTAAATGTTATTAAACTTCCGGAACCTACACATATTCTATCTTTAAAACAATAGAAATCGAGAGTGTATTTATGTAGTTATAGGGGGATGCCATATGATTTCATATTAAATACATTTAGGATCTCTAATAAAATATTTGGATTGGCGAATATACATTTAGGGCGTCGCTAACCACGCCAGGTAGTTGTTGCAGCGCTATCAGGATGGCTTCCTTTCGGGCCTGGGCAGACTCATGCAACGGCAAGTTGAATAGACTTTGGGTATCAGCCGGAGCGAACAGCCTTCAGGCCACAATCCAGAAAACTCGTTTTCAAAGTGTTTCGTTGTCGGAATATGGTATAAATTTTATTAGAAAGGTTAAAATCAGGTTAAAATGAATTGGTTAATTTATGTACCTCTAGTGTTAAATTTTTTTTATTAAACTAAAAAAAATTGTTTATGCAAGGCAAAACAACAACAAATCAATTAAATGTATCTAATCTATTAAATCTTAACTTCATTATGCTAAACTTTTTCATATACAACATTCGTCGTTTTTGTCAGTACTTAATGAGCTTAAAAGATATTAAATTATTTATTTGTTGCCATTAAAAGTCTGTGTGTGATTTTCGTCCGTTTCATAACACCCCCTTTTTGGTCCGTAATATAAAAAGCTCACTTAATTTAGGATCTTAACAGTATGTTTACATATTAATATGTATATGTACATATTTGCATTTACATATATTTGTAAAGTAACCAGTACCTACTATGTATTTCCTGCACCTGTTTGTGCATTTAATTATCTTTTTAACTCCTCAGCATCTTAAATATAAATTTATTTCGAGTACACACGCAACACACAAAAACACTCGAATACTCGAATCTAATTTAAACGTTATTTTCTAAAAGTTTTTCCAGTTTGGGCTCTTCCGATAGGGACTTTTTCGTTTTTTGTCCTTTTTCCTCTTCGGCTTGGCTTGGTCGGTTAGCAACTCGTCGTTCGAAAATGGATATCACGCTGATGTAGAATAAGAAGAAGAAAATTGTGTAAAAAAGTGTTAGTCAAATTGTCATTCGCCTTTTCGAGATCAGACGCATTACATATGAGCGGCCTGGGCGACGCCGACTACTAAGCAGTACCGTCGCAGTAACGTCGCGTTTTCGTATACACGAAGTTGAAAGTGAAAAATAATTGCTGATTCATAAATAATCGGCTAAAATTCACTACGCTAAATTACACTGCATTTTTGCCTTCAACTTCGTGTATACGAACACGCAACGCTACCCCGAGGGTATTGCGCAGTAACGTCGCCCAGGCCTAGTTATATGTAAGTATAGAGATATATCTACATATATTAGCGTGGTCCATTTTTTTCCAGCCACGCCTCAAAACTGTGAAGTATCGAAAATAGGGAGATCCTTATTTTTTATTTTATTTTGAAATTGCTTAACATTTAAAGGTGTCGCCAGAGCGTGGAAGTTTTCTATGTATTTTATATGCTATAAAATCGTTAAAACCAAATATGTATTGTTTTTATCGAAAAAGAATAAGAAAAGAACGAAAAATGGCACTGAAGGCGACACAACGCCGTAACCGGGTTGTCTCCAAAACAAATTTGACAAAGGATGCTGGAAAATCGTTCCACAACACATTTTACTTAGAGATAATATTATTGGTCATGAAAAAATTTTGCATTATAATTTTATTTTTTTGAAGATTTCTAGATTGTTTTTTTTTAACGGTTTTATAGATATCTTAGAAAAAATTGCACTTTCCTTTTATAAAATACATGAGAAACTTCAAAGCTCTCTCGGCCGATTTCAAATAAAAAAATATGGGCTTCTTCTTTCCATGTTCTATAATTTTGGGAGGTGGCCGCAGGAAATTTATTAAAAATTGAATATTCTTGTATTCGTATTTTGGGACCAACTTAATGTACATATAAGTAGTATCATCGTTAGAATAATAATTTGGTATACAAAATTTCTGCATGCCTTAAAGCTTGTTTCCATTTTATTGTACTTGGACGACATAATTGCCGCCATATTTGGTGTCAAATTTATTATTTACTCGCTGGGGTTTTGCTGAGGCTCTAATAATTTGGCATTAAGATGCTCTTTTTTGCGCACATTTATAATAGGGGGTTTTCACTTAACCGACGACCCATACCATTGAACTTGCGATAGTGAAAACAAGCCTTCAGGCAAGCATTGGACGTTGTCGAAGACATTAAGATTAGAAAATATCTTTCGAAAACTTACATCATTACAAGAAAGCACTCCCCATAGAGTCCAGAGCTAATAAAATTAAAGAAACTTGGAAACGTTTGAAGAGTGTGGCTATATACGAAAGTATATAAAGGTGCTGCAATTAAGGGCGAGAGTGTTTGCAAACATGCCGCCAAGGAATAGACTTTGCCTGAAAATGACAAAAAGCATAATTTTCGATTTTACGATCACTATGCACTGAAATATTTACCAATTTCATTTGATGGCACCGCTAAAGATATAATTGCTTGCAACATTGGAGTTGTAATGCCTGATAAAATTCCAAAGGACGATGCCACATACATCTGCCAGAAGCTCTGTGCTAACGCACGGGTTAGACATTCCAGCATATGTCCAGCTAGACCCATCAAAGCGATGATGCCAAAGGGTATTTTGAAAATCTGAAATTCCGTATACATAAATATGTAGGTATTATTGCAGATTTATGGAACAGAGCTGGAATAATTTACCTTTCTTAACACCGTAACTGCTATACTGCAGCCTACCATTTTAATTGTTATTTGCGTAGCATTGAAGTAAGTGTACTGTTGCAATGTTACATTAAATTTGTTGCGTAAGAATAAGTAGAATACACCATGTTCGCCGTCTGTAAGTGTTTTATATATATAGAACAAGGTAAGCATGGCAAATTATAACTACATACTTGTACAACAACTACACACACAATTAGGGTATTCACAAGTCGTATTAAATCGTAAAGTTTTAAAGTCATAAAATGTTTCAATGAAAAATAGCAGTTAAAAGGTTCTTCGGGGATTTTCAACAGCAATAAAATATTTCCGAACTAATAGAAAATATATAATAAACCATTTTAATCGTTATTTTACTTTGAAAAATTTTACGATTTAAAGACATTACGACGCTTAATATGTCTTGTGAAACCGCCTTATTATTTAACTAGTTTTCATACTCACGATGAACGAAGCTCGACACCATTAAAATAGAAATCGTACAACCAATGATGGCACGTCCATAATTTGGACGACGCGCCACACAAGTTTTCACAAGGTCCTTGATAAGTAGGATATC